ACTACTGCTGCAATACTCTGCTAGGGGTTAATCCCCAAACACTAACAATTACTTGTAGGTTAAATCAGGCAATCATTATGACTTGAAGCAGAGGCAGTAGTACCAGAATAAGGATTGATAATGAGGACAGCAAATGTTATACTGACATATTTTCCTGCCAGCTGTAGGGTGGATTAATAATATCCAATACAGCAGTGAAGAAAGGCCTTGAAATTGCATAGCATTCTTCTTTCTATGCACCAGAATGAAATCTCTTTATCAATCTTGAACATCCATCTTATGACTTCAAAACAAATAATATATTCTCCAGCAGACTGAGGGGAGCTAAGAGGTGATAAATGCCATGCCTATGTTAAAAAATTCAGGGATATGAAAAGAGGCATTTTTCTTAGGTTGAGGTGTGCCATCATTTTGGAGGAAGCAAACAGCAGCCAAGATCAGTAAACAAGATAATTGCCCATCATTGCTTGCTCCCAGCCCCTCTTCTTTTCATAATCACATGACAGGGATCCTGCAACAGCCCCAATTTTGTGAATAAAACTGGTCTGAATAGCATGGAAATTTAAATTCCATAGGAGTGATGGGTCCTGAGGTTTTTTATGCATTTTTAAGTTAAAGATTTTCAGGTACTGATTCAAAAATTGTTGTTTAATAAAACCTTGAAGGAAAGCGAGAGGAGAATAATTGTAAACAAGACAGAGGGAAATATGAATATGATGATTATAAAATGGATAAATATAGAAGAAATGTAATTGAATAAGAGCAAAGAGAAATAATGAGAAATCTGCTAAAAGATATTTAAGTGGAAATGGGATATATCAGAACTATATTGTATAAAATAATGTTTTATCTGCCTTGTAAAAAGTTGTAATGGAAAAAAAAATTGTGATACAATGCACTATTTGGGCTCATATGAGTTTGTAAACAGACAAACAGCTAAACACATTTAAAATTTTAGTAGTATATAAATATACAATGCAACATTACAATTAAACTTGCCCTGTCCCTATCCCTATTTCACATTATTCCTTTTATATCTTCTCTAAGAATTTTTAGGAGATCCTTCTTTGAATAGTTTCACTTTACAAACTTTGATTCAGAAAGAAAGATTTTTCCCCCTTTTTAAGAACAAATTGCCTTGCTCTCTGCAATGAAATTAATTGTGTCAGAGTGAGCACCTGTCATTTGCCTCAGCTTTTGCCCATCTAAAAATTTGAAAGCATGCTATACATGCAAGTAGATAAATAGGTACCACTTTGCTGGGAAACATGGCAGAATTTTGTGCGCACGGTCAGACTCCTGCTTCTGCTGGACCTACTCAGATGTGATGCCTGACTGTGAGGAGACATCAGTGGTGAGGGAAGGCCCCAGATGATGCCGCAAAATGCCAGTCATCTTTCTGGTGCAGAGCTAGTTTGTCTCCTATGGTGCACTCTGGATAAGCGCATGGCGCAAACTAAATGGACTAGTAATCTTCAATAGCTAAATTACTACTATGTATTAACATTGTAGTCTACTGGCTAATTGTACCATCACAATACAATAAATAAATATTGTGTCAAAATCCCACCAAAAAGGCTTGCTTCAGTTTTTCTAGGCATGACACAATTTAGTAGATATCTGTGAGCAGAATGGTATGAGTATTGCATGCTCATTGAATCTTCTCCATGAAACTTAAGTTTTCAAGTACAGACACAGTGCAATCCTCCATATGATAGAAATATCTCTATTCAACTCCAATGCTCTCACACCATGTTATGATGGAGTCTATAGTCCAGGTGAAGATACAGTAGAAATGGAAAGAAACTGAAACTCCTGTTCAAATTAATAGAGATAATAAATCTATCCATTTTGGTTTCTCCCAGGTTTTTTTTCCTGAAAATATATCAAGTTTATATATTTTTTTAGTTTCTCACTCTATGGAATGTATTGAACTTGATTGAGAATATTCACTAAGATTTATATGCATTTGGGAACACGTTTTGCCAAATGTATATATCTGTACTTACACAGTTTTAAAGTAATATAGTTTTGTATATTAGCTTCACAAATACACACATTTTACTGGCTTTTGTAGTACTATGTGTTCTAGGGACAGATTGGATTGCATTTCTAAAAATTAACTATTTTTAGTTAGTTACTTTGTTTACGCTTAGTTACTCAAAAGGCTTAAATTTAGGGGAAAAATAAGCTACCAGATGTAAAGGATTTTGGATTACTTACTTGTAATATTTTAAGGCTAGGCTCCAGAATATTTGAAAATCATTTATTTTAAATTGCATCCTTTTCTTTTAAATTATAACCAAACAAAGTTCTTTCTAAAAATATATGCAAACTTTTTGAGTTCAGAATAGTTGTATTGGATTTGCCTGAAGTGGGAAACAGCTTTGTACTCACTATTCTTTATTCAAACATGATTTTTACAAGATAAACTTGGAAGCCACCCATTTTTGTCCCACTTCCTCATGAAACAGTACCATACAATATTTTTTTAAGAAAATATGCATATAAAAGTTTAATCTGTTGTATAAAAATATAAAAGAAAATTGCATGTGTTTGCCTAGATTTTGTTTCTCAAAGGCACATTTATACTATCCTGACTAGCCTTTTGCACCTGATTCTGCCACCAATTACTTTAGTTTGTGATTCTGTCTAGAGACTTTGGAATAAAAAAATTTTTTACATGCAATAACTTCTGGCATGATTTATATCCTACTTCAATTTCCCCCTTCATTTAGAAGAATAGCAGAATAGCAACAGAGTTGGAAGGGACTTGGAGGTCTTCTAGTCCAGGGTCTCCAACCTTGGCAACTTTAAGCCTGACGGAGTTGAAGTTCACCAGGCTTAAAGTTGCCAAGAATTGGAGACCCCTGTTCTAGTCCAACCTCCTGCTGTCAAGCAGAAAACTCTATACCATTTCAGGCACATGGTTGTCCAATCTCTCCTTAAAAACCTCCAGTGTCAGCACCCACAACTTCTGGAGGCAAGTTGTTCCACTGATTAATTGTTCTGTCAGGAAATTTGTCAGGAAGTTCTAGGTAGCTTCTCTCCTTGATTAGTTTCCATTGCTTCTTGTCTTGCCTTCTGGAAATAGTTGGAAAATAGGTTGATTCCCTTTGTGCCAACCCCTTAGACTTTGGAACACTGCTATCATGTTTCTCTTAGTCCTTTTTTTTATTAAACCAATAAATAAAATCAAATAAAAATGAAAAAGAATACTCAATTCCTGCAACTGTTTCTCATATGTTTTAGCTTCAGTTCCCTAATCATCTTTGTGGCTCTTCTCTGCACTTTTTCTAGAGTCTCAACATCTTTTTTATAACATGGTGACCAAAACTGGATAGTTTCCAAATGTGGTCTTACCACAGCATGAACACTTTATGTGATACTAACCCTTCACGTGATCTTGATTCTATCCTGCTGTTAATGCAGCCTAGGACTGCATTGTTGTTTTTTGTGACAACTGCAGCACATTTTCCTGATTTTTGTACCATCTAATCCAATATACTTCTGGATCATTCAAGGGCTTGATCCAAACATTGCTCCAAGCAACGTAATTGCTGCTTTCATAGAGGCTCAAAGCTGTACAATGTAAATTGTGGTTTATAAGTCCTGGTAGCTAGATTCAGAAATGCAATACAAAATGCAGATATGAAAAAAATGAATATATTGTAGTAAGGTGCATGGAATAAATCAAGAAGCCAAAAGCTGTTGTTTTGTGAATTTTGGTTGATCCTAATAAAAATATTGCATCACTTGTATTTTTTAAATCTTATTTCAGAATATCATCCCCATTCCCCCCTAGATTGATATCCTTTGCCCTTTTTATATATATGTTTCTGACAACAACCTTATCTGCCAATATATTCATCCATTTTAATTGGTAAACATGTGGGCATGTATATTGATTTTACC